ATCTTAATTGGGAAGATGATAATGCTATCAATAGTACCAATAAAGTCACAATCCATATTTATTACTTGTCTTCTTTAAGATGGCTTGTATGGTGGTTAGGAGGATTGAAGACGTAATGAGAGATTTTTTATGGGAAGAATGCGCGGAAAGGAAGAAGGATCATTTAATTAGTTGGGAGGTTGTGTCTAGGCTTAAGATTAAGGGTGGCTTATTGGTGGGGAATTTGTTGAAAATGAATATGGCTCTTGTTGGGAAATGGCTATAGAGGTTTCCTTTAGAGCAAGATTCACTGTGGCATGTAGTTATTAGAAGCAAATATGGGTTACAAGCTAACAGGTGGGATGCCAACGGGTTTGAAAGAGGTACTTTCCAGAGTCCTTAGAAATTCATTTCTCAGGGATTGCCTAGTTTTTCTTAATGCGTCAAGTTTATTGTGGAAAATGGATCCAAAGTTCGATTTTGGGAAGATATATGAAGGGGAAAGCATTCCTTGTCGAGTCTTTTTCCTCATCTTTTTCATTTGTCTAGTTAGCATTATTGTCATCCCAATTAGTCTACTTCCATCCATCTAATCTTTTTCCAATTCCTTCAATCACTGGATCTCAAAAAGATTTAGACATTGGATTACCACCTAATGGAAAACCTAAATACTTCAACGGCCACCCACCCACAATTAGTGGCGGAGCCAGCATTTCATTTTAGGGTGGACACAAATATGAATAACAAAATTTCACTAATTAATATAAACTATTAAAGGTTTTGACATATTTTTAAACACAAACATAAGAAAAATATGAATAACAAAATTTCACTGATTCATATAAACAATTAAAGGTTTGGACATATTTTTATACACAAACATAAGAAATACATCAATAACCAAAACTAAAATACTAGAAGAAAATATATCTAACATTATTTAGCCTTACTAAAACATGGAACAAAGAAAAGGACACAATATTCATTTCATAGTGCATTGATCATTCAACTCAATCAACTATCCAAATAATGCTTGATGTCATATCAGTGTTTTAAAAAACGCGCCTAAGCGCTCGCCTCGGCGAGAAGCGAGGCGAAGTGAAGCGAAGGGATCTTGCATGGAAGACCCCAGGTGAAGCGAACGTGAGTGAAGCGAGAAAAAAGCGAGAAAAGCGAAAAAGCGAACGCTTGAGTCATTTGAGGCAAAGTTTAATTTTTAATTTGGATCGTTGAATTGGACAATTGAAAAAAAAATTATAAGATGTTGATACACCGAATTATCCCCTTATCCCATAAATACAACCCTAAACCCAATTTTAATCAGACTCCTTTGCTGCTCGTTGGGCTCCTACACGATCGCTAGACTCAATCGACAAACACGATCGACAGAATGAGTCGCTACACCTACACAATCGATAGAGTCGTTGCTCCTTCCTCGCTGCACATGTTAACCTACTTTTTTTCTTCTCTCTTCTATTTCTCTTTCTTTCTTCTCTTTTCTGGTTCTAGATCTTTTTCCTCGCTGACAGATTCTGCTCTTTTTTTTTTCTTGATTCTGATTCTGCTCCTTTTTTTTGTGCTCCTGTTTCTGATTCTGATTATGCTTCTGATTCTAATTCTGTTCCTTTTTTTTTCTGATTGTTGTCATGCTTCTGTTTTGCTGTTTTGAATGTTCTGTTTTGCTGTTTTGCTGTTTTTGTGTTGTTTTGTTGTTCTTTAGTTGCTTGAATTATGTGTTTTATGTTTTTAAATATTATAATTTAGGATATTATTAGTGTTTGTTTGAATTTAAATGTTTAAGTTGTTGACTGTTATTAAGATTTAAGATATTATTAGTGTTTGTTTTAATTTAAATGTTTATGATTTTACTTGCATTTAAATATTTAGTATGTATAAAATTAGAACTTAGATGTGTATAAGCAATTAAACTAAAATATTTAATTTTTTTTTTAACTGTTCGCTTTGCTTCTCGCCTAGGCGTTAGGAGCCTTGATCGCTTCAGTTTGCTTTACGCTTTAAATAACACTGTGTCATATCATGTCCCAAAAATTATCTATTTATGTGTAAAATTTTGCAGTAATTTTTTTCTTAATTTACATAAACAAAGAGCCCACCAATAAATCATCGTCTATCATATTAAAATCATATTTTTGATAATATACATAATTGAAAATAATCCCCAAATTTAACAAGCAACACTAATCCAAATGACCATTTAAATTTGACATATAACTCATGTATTTTTTGACTTGTTAAAACATAAGAATATTACTGGAAGGGGCAAAGGAAAAATTGAAAAAATAAAAGAGGCCTTGAGTGAAAATATCATATGAGTATGTTTAGTAGACAAGGAAATGTCAGAGGGGCATCGGCCAACCTGGCCTATGAGTGGCTCCGTCATTGCCCATAACACACCCTACTTTTCCTTGACTAGTATTAATCCCTACAAATTGACTTTTTTTCATATTAATTTTTAGCCTAGAAATCAAACCAAACACATCAACAACCTTCTTACAATTCCTAAATTTCTCTTTACCCACTGAGAAAAAAAATTGGCACCAGTGAATTGCAAATGAGACGCATAGATTCTTTCCTTACCAATTACAAACCCTCCACCAAGTTACACCTTTTATGTCTATTCCATTAATCCACTCAACCCATCAACTACCAAAGTAAACAAAAAAAGAGATGAGGGATCCCCTTGTCTTTAAGACCCCTACACCTTCCCCTAAGTTTACTATTACAACTAATAGAAAAATTCATTGGCCCTAAGCATCCCTTAATCCATTGTCTCCACCTATCCCTAAAACCTTTAGCATCCATGACAAAATCCAAAAACTCCACTCCACATGGCCATAAGCTTTCTTAAAATCAAATTTCCATACTATTACCTCCTTTCTTCTCACTCTATAATCCTCAACTACCTCATTAGCAACAAGAGTTCCCTCCTCTCTTTACTTATTTCATTTTTAAAAACCACATCCTCAAGTTTATTCCTAAGCTCCCTCCTCTCTTTTCTCAAATCTGCATCCACATCACCTCCTTCTCTTTTATCAATCTAATCAATCAAATTCAAAATAATCTTTTGTCTCTCTAACATCCCCAAACTCCTCTTTATTCCACTCTTTTAACTTTTGTTTTACAAATTTCAATTTTTTCATAAATTTATAACCCTCCCATCCTTGGACATCACCCTCTGACCACTATTCTCTAATTTTTCCCTTAAAACCTCTATACTCCACCCACATGTTCTCAAATCTAAACGGACAAGGCCGCCACTACAGCTTAGAATCATCAACAATAATGAGACAACGATCTCAAGCAACTCTAGACAAAACCTGTTGTCTTACCCTTAGAAAACAATCCTCCCACCCAACTGAAAACAAACACCAATCCAATCTTTTACAAACCAAACACTTCTAAAATTGGACCAAGTGAACATACCATTAGCCATGAATGAATCTATAAGTTCCATCTCTCTAATGAAACTATCAAAATCCTTCATACACTTTGTTATTCTGCCCCATTTCACTTTTTCACCAAGTATCTAATGACATTAAAATCGCCCCCAATACACTATCATGGACTACAAACACCAATTAGATTTGCTAATTCTTCCCATAGCCTTACTCTAAGAGGTTTATATGGTTCCTCCTCTTGGTCTCCCACACATTTCAAGAGAGGTATGTAAATTTAGAAAAGCTTTGTATGACCTTAAACAAGCTCCTCGAACGGGATTTGAGAAGTTCTCCACTGTAATCTTTGACTTGAGTTTTCGTTCAAGTGATTATGATCCTGCTCTTTTCCTTCGTTCTACTTCCGCTGGTTAGATTGTTCTCCTCTTATGTGTGATGATATGATTATTATTGGGGGCATTTCAATATTGAAGGCTCAGTTACAACAACAATTTGAGATGACGGATCTTGGTCCCCTTCAATTTTTTTTTTTTTGGCATTGAAGTGGCTTTATCCCCTTCGATAACTCTTTGGGGATTATCTTTTTTCTTAGTCAAAATATGTAGTTGATGTTATCCACAGGGCCCATTTAATAAATTCTTAGACTATTGAGACTCTTTTCGAGCTTAATGTGCACTACACTTCTACTGATGGGGTCCCTTTGGCTAATCCTACCTTGTATTGGGTTCTTCTCAGCAGTCTTGTCTATCTCGCAGTTACACTGCGTGATATAGCATATGTTGTTCATGTTGTAAGTCAATTTATCTCCTGTCCAACCACAGTGCACTGGGCTGAGTTCTTCGCATTTTATGCTATCTTAGAGGCATTTTACATCAAAGTTTGTTGTTTTCTTCTACTTTTACTATAGAGCCTCATGATTTTTCTGATGTTGATTAGGCAAGTGATGTCGTGTATCGTAAATCTATCACTAGTTTCTGTGTCTTTTTGAGTGATTCTCTTATTTTCTAGAGAAGTAAGAAGCAGATCGTTATCGCTCATTTTACTGCTGAGGCTGAATATCGTGCTATGGCTACTTCTACATCAAAGATAGTTTGGTTGAGATGGTTGCTTGCCGATCTAGGTATTTCCTTTTCTTGATATTGTCTCTTGTAGTCACTTTTCATTATTATGGAATATTAGAGTGTCGCTTATGGTTTTTCCCTTCTTCTATTCTTTGTACTTGTGAACTCTTTTCTATGCACTAGTTGATTTATGTTTTCAAATCCGACTTGTGTTGTTGTCTATTTTATTTGCTTAAACTAATTTGATTGAATTGGTTGAATGGATTAGAGGGATAAGGTTGGCGGATTATTCTTGTATGAAAAATTAATTTGGGATTTTACGTGAATTCACTAATTAAACCATTGGGTTAAAGTCATTGAAGTGTTAATTGCACTAATTGATGGATCAAATTACAATTGAGAGAAATAAGTTTTATTTGGGGATAATTTCCGCATTAGAGTACAAAAGACCTATACAACCCCCCGGGGTCAATTATGTATATTTCATGATCTCTAATTTGCACTCCCGTAACACAATTAGCAGTTTTGTTTATTGTGTTGTTTATTAGTTTCTTGAAATTTTGTTTTTTGAGAAGTTCAACATCCACATTATCATCATATATAAGACTAGATCCCCGCGGTGTTTTAGACGAAGGAGAGTGCTCTCACCATACAAGCCAGCCGGATGGGCCGGAGTGGCAGCAATGGCATTCTGCTCTTCCTCTGATAAGACCTGCAAATTGAACAACCAACATGAGAGAAAGAAAGAAGATATTAGATTTGTCAAGGAAAAAAGATTATGCACCACAATTGCACATACTGGCAATGTCGTCAAAAGAGTGTCTACATAAGTCCCCTCCCCCAGTAAGTTCAATGCTTCACTCTCAAGAATATCAGATTTGAGGTGAACAATCGAGACTGAACAATCTGAAGAAGCCGCAGCTGAAATGTCTTCCTCAACTTCTTCATCAGGTATAATGTGATTTAAGACATCAGCATTCGACATTGAACACCTTGAATTAAAGTTGTCCAGCCTGCAACCAAAAAATATAAGAAAGAGATAACAGTAAAGTCATCCTCATCTATCACGTTTGTAACTTAAACAAGAAAAAATACCTTGATAACAATGAAGTCATCCTCATCTATCACGTTTGTAGCTTAAACAAGTAAAAATACCTTATTCCCTTCAATTTTGTATCCCAAGGAGTGTCTCATCCATGGGGTAATGGGTTCAAACAGAATAGGCGACGCTGAGAGGGAAGGGGGGAGAAAAGGTATTACTAAATCCTCACAAGAATTAGGCCAAAAAACACAATTTCTCCACAGAGAATTCTCAAATTAAGATTCCACTCTGATTAGAATGATATAGAATACATCCTTTTTTATAGACCAAGTGTCCTACCAAAATGAACTACTTCCTACTAAAACTCTATCAACCTATCCCTACCAATCTCAATCTGCAAAATACTATCTAAACACAAATTCAAATCTATACTACTAATAAAAGTACCTTATATGAAAAGATTTTGATTCACTATTTTACCCTCATAAAAAACTATAAAGACTAACATGTCTTGTATTTAAATATGTAAATTACCATTATATCCCTTTATACTTAAATAACTAACTAACATCTAACATATCATGTAAATCTCAATTTTTACAAAATTTTTAGATGATCATGTTCCTCGTGACAAGATATATAAAAAAATTACTTTTTTTTTTCTAAAACCCCAATATTAATACACATCGACAACTTCATTTGTATAATATTATCTTCGGTGTCAAAAAATCAATATATGTATCTTTTCTTATCGTTCACAATATAAACAATTTAAGTATGATAAAAATGAGATAGTATCTAATTTATTTATATAATTAAATTTTGAGTTAATAACACTTTTAGTCTCTAAAGTATGTATTTTTTGTCAATTTAGTCCTCATTGTATCAATTTGATTCCTAAAGTATTTAATCTGTGTCATTTTGCTCTTTAATTAGACAATCCATCAAGTTTTTTGACTGAAGTGACTATGTGTAATTTTTTTTAAATGGTATCATGTATCCAACACATGACCATTCTATCAAAAATTTAACGGTCTATCTATATATGAATCAAAATGACATGAATCAAATATTTTAGAGACAAAATCAAAACAATGAGGACTAAACTAAAAATATATATATTTTTTTACAGATTAAAAGTGCTACTAATCCTTAAATTTTATGAATTTTATCAAATATTTTAACAAAATTTTTTATTGCACGTGGTGTATTGCTAGTAAAAATAAAAAGATAATTCCTAAAAATTCTACAATGTGCACTTTCCTTTTGGCCAAAAAATTTCCAACCTTTCGTTTAGGCTTTGAAAACCTGTTATATCAGTCCAACCATGCAAAGGCTACACCTTCAATTCTCCCCGTCTAAAAGAAACTCAACTTCGGCGAGTGAAAAGGGCCAAGAATATCACCTGATGAAATTTTTTGAGGAATCACTGATGAAGTCTTCTTAACTTTCATTGCACTCATATTTTTACATTTCTTTTTGTGTTGATGAATAGATTTCCCGTTGATAACTTAACTAGGAATAGATAGAGGACAAATAGCACCCAATGTATGATCATAAATGAAGTCATTGAAATTAGCCTCATTAACATCAAGGGGCCGCACAATGTGAATATCAAATTCTAACTCATTAAACTCTTTAGTCTCCATGGGGATTTCTCTTTCATTTGTGCAACCACCTTTGTAGAACATTGGAAAGATAGATGACCAAACCCTTGATTTCCCTTTCAATTATGCTTCCCTAATTCGACTATGTAAACTATAAATGAACTCGTTGCTTATAATTAACAGGCAAAAAAATATCGAGTCAAAGCAGTTTTCATCTCATTCCATGATCTATCAACATTAGTTTGTTGGTACTTCACCCACCAAAGTCGTGATGTACCCTTTAATTTAGATTTAGCAAAAGATACTTTTCCCTCATCGATTAGACGATACCATTTAAAGAAACCAAAACCATCGAGACTGTGTAACCAATCAAAGAACTCCTCAAAATTATTATCCCCATGGAAATCTGTAACATCTACTTTAAGTCCTCTCTCAACAGCAATCAATATATAATCTTCTCAAACCGTAGCTTCAACGAGTTGTTGATGATGGGTAGTTAAAGAACATGAATCATTATCTGTATTCTTTTGAACTCCTTTGCCCTTCTTATTTACGAGATAAGCTTCAAGAAATTCTTTTAGTGATGCTATGGATGCCTCAATTGAATCCATTCTATCATTCATGGCATTTTTGTGACTCGGATAAAGCTTCCACTTTGGAATTTAAATTGGCGTTGGAGATGATCTTGATGGAAGAAGTGATTTGAAATTTTTGGGGCCAAACTACAATTTCAAAAAATTTTGGGGCCACTCTATAATTTCAAAAAAAAATGGGGTGCAAAGAAGAGTTTTTGGTTTTCTTCCCTTTTATGTTTTCTTTTTTCCCTCAAAGTTGGGTTGAGCTATTTTATTAACAGGTTGGTTCTAGGTCCAATGCAATCTTGTGATCTATTAATGCTTAAAGCATAAGGACCGGACTTTTAAGGTTTTAAGGACATGCGTTTGTAACTATATAGAACGAAGACTCTCAAGAAGGTGACATCCATGTCGAACACCAACACTCCTCAGACACTTGTCCAATACTCTTTTATCCATATCCATAATTAAATAAAAAAATTTGATTTCAAACACGTCTTCGACACTTCTTTAGACTGTGCTACAACTAAATAATAAAAATTTGATTAACAAAACTTAAAATTTGACTAATAAGTATTTTATACTATGAGAGATGAAATAACTATAAAAAAAAAAACATGTTTAAGTTGTACTCAAAATATAACAACAAAAACAAAAAACAAATAAAAAATTTAGGAAAAAGCAATTGAGAAAATAAGAGCAATCTTTAAAATTATATACGTTAGGTACACGTCTACAAAAAAAATTATAATTATTGACTATTACAGTGTTAGTCTAAAAATTCACATTAGATGACTAGACATAACATTTACTTATCTCATAAAGTAATATTTTTTATGAATAGTATGTCATTATCACTATAGTTAGGATAAATTATATAATTTTATTTATTAAACATAATTATCTATAGTGTGTCCTCAACATGTACTTGTCCTACTTTTTTTAGAAACGTCGTGTCTGCATTTCCGTGTCGTGTTGTATCCGGATTCCATGTCCATGCTTCTGAGGTTTGTAACATCAGGTGTGTGATCCCAAATTGTTGCTATTTAAATTTTTAATGACAAAACCACCCTTCCATATGAAATCTGCTCGATCGTTATATCACTCCCTCTTTTCTTTATCAATCTATCTATCGCAACACACCGTTATTAACGATCTGCTCATTGTGACATACCATTACTCACGTCGGAACCTTTGTCCTTATTGCCGGAATTCTTGACATCGTCGTTGTGGTTTAATTTCTCCAGATATAAACACTTTCATCAGAACATCATCACTCATATCTGCCCATATTCCTCATAAGCTGTCATTCCCATCTTTATTATTGAACCCATGGACAGGAACTTGGGGACAGAATCTTCCACTGCTGCATAAAATATTGCCACTTTGCAGCCACCCAGAGCTTTGCATCTACAGGTTTCCTCACAGTTTTTGAACCACTTTTGATAGGAAAAAACTTTATTTTCCCTGGCTTCATCGCTGTTTCAGGCCATCATAGTCATAATCAGTGTAGACCTCGGGGACCAAAAAGTTCCTTTCGTTGTTATTCAACCAAGTTTCCACTGTGTGATTCTTCGTCATCTGTCTCAAGTGCCTCTGTTTTGGTGCTTCGATGTCACAATCATCTGTGTCGCCAAAGAGAAAGAGGCTAGGGTTGGCAAGTAAACCCACCGTGAGAAAAAAAAAAACATAGGCAACACACTGTTTATAAATCTCAAGAGATGGCACATCCATATTTTCATGTTCAGTTGGTCAATATTTTATGTACATCCATATTTTCATGTTTGGTTAGTCAATAAGTCACTGCGTCTTTGTCGTCGTTATTTTGTTCTGCGACGCAATTATTTTTTTGATATCTGTTCGATGTTCATTTTGTCACTATTTATACGTCACTGTGAACAAGTCGCAGTGTCACTCTGAGTATGTCACTAAGAATATATACCTGTCACTGTGATTTTTAGGAGTATTTTTAGTCTTTCAGCACCGAAGTGTCCTTTAAGACCCAATAAGCTACAGAGTGGACTTTGAGGCCCAAAAGCATAATAAAGTGTACCGGCCACCGAAAATGTGTGGGATCCACCACAATTTAAAAACCCAGCTAACAAAGGTCACCAATATGGAGTCTTATTCTTCTTGGTTACGACGTGTTCGCCTGGGTTTCAACAATCCTAACTTGCAATGTTCTGCCAAAACAAACAAGCAGCAAGTGGAATTGGATTTGCCCTATTGATGAAATTGGAATTTGGGTTGCCAACTGCCAAGTAACTGATATGCTTTCCACAAATCAGGATACATAAACTTTTTTTTATCCAAACTGAGATATTTCTGGCAAATCAACAGTATAAGGAATAGAAGAGAGGGTTTGTTTTGACTATGTAGACTAAGCTAGGAAGAATTGAGGTGTGCACAGAGACCAAACTACGAGGCAGTGAAGTGAGTGTATACTACGTTGCGTGGTCGATTCTGAGAGTGTAAACTAAGCTACGATGGATTGATTTGAAACTCCGATACCAATAGACGCAAGGAGTTAAGGGTGAGAAAGGGCATTACAGAATCTTCGCAAGGATTAGGTCAAAAACATAATTTCTCCACAAAGAGTTTTCAAATTATTCAACTTTGATTAAAATGACATGGAAGACATTTTAGACCGAGTGTCCTTACCAAAATGAACTACTCTCCTACTAAAACTCTATTAATCTGTCCCTCCTAATTTCAATTTAATAATTACTATCTAACTAAAAATTTAAATAAAAATACAAAGATAATTCCTAAAAATTCTACCACGTGCATTTCTCTTTTGACCAAAAATTCTCAAACTTTCACCTAGGCTTCCAAAGCCAGTCATATTGGTCAAACCATGTAAAGGCTACACCATCAACGGGCATCCTCTATTATAGACCCATCACTGAAACTTAGTTATATCTCACCCAAACAGAGAGCTCATCAGACTTCCAACATTAAAACTATCTCTTAACTACATAAGATAGGGCTAGCTATCGAATCAAAATTTCTACCATTTATCATCTAACATTTCTAAAATTCCAAATAAAGGAGGCAAGCTTAAATTTTTTTAAACTAAACTTGATCAAATTTTAGTAAACAATTGATCATGACGTAAGATTGCTCAAAATAAATAAGAAGCTCATGAAAATTATTAATAAAGATTACAAACAGTCATTAAGGCAGTATCTCTCTTCCTTTGCTTTTTCCATCAAGTTCCTTTTGAGTACAGAGAAGTACATCATTACATTATTTAAATTCACCAAGGAAGCACAACACTGGGCTTCTTTAAAGATGAGCAATGCCACGTGTGCCTTCTTGATTGTCATATACGAAAAGAGGTGGCCCTATGATGTACTGCCAGATAACAACGAACAAAAGGAGTGAATTTCGCATGGAGCCAACTTGGAATCATGTGTAACTTTTTTGTCCAATCTGTGTCGTATTCAAGTTTATTTTAGGTTAGTTGCAACTGACAGTTATAATCATAAATTGATGAGATTTAGGTGCCAAGCATATTTGAAATTTCAAGATTTTAACAGGCATGGATGTAAAGAAATCTGTCTTATGTTGGGTGAGGTTATGACATTGTGTATTCTTTTGTTTGTCTGTAAAAGTAGGAAAACACCAACATATTTATATGAGCTTCCATCCAATGAATTGGAGTTCAAAGAATCTAAATTGTGTAATTATGATGCAATCTTGGGTGATCTATGAAAGTCTAATCAACCTTCACTTCTCCTCTTTAAAAACTACCTCTGTTAATAATCAACCTTTATTGTGACAACAAAGATATGGAAGTATTATTTCTCCAGAATTTCCAGCACCCAAACCTCTGAATTCTTGCAACCTTGTAGTGCTTAAGCACACCAATTCTAACTCCCTTCAATCCAACAACCCTACAACCTTCCATTCTTTTGCATGATAACCTATAAGCTTACATTGACCTTATCTCACCATCAAATGCATCACAGGAAGCACCATTCCCTTTTTTTTTTTTTTTTTTTGGTTTTGCACCCAGTAACCTAATTCACCGCAAACCTAATCATTTCCTTCTCGAAGCCCTAAACTCAATTCACCTAAAGACCCCAAATAACCAGGGAATAATGCTCCTGATAATAAAAAAAAAAACCATCCCAATCATATCCAAGGAGCTCATAATTCACCAAAGCTAAGTTCTGTAGGCTATTCAAAGATCAGTAAGTATAATGAGTCAACTGCGTACAAGCAAATATGTTTCGCGCCATATCTTCCAAATTATTATCTTCACAAGATAGCATGAAGACTCAATTTTTGAGGGACTCACTGATAACATACAGAACTCTGCACCAACATCAGCTGAAAATCAATACTAGTGCTGTGCCCGGGAGGAAAACGAAAGGTCATGGACAGGTTTTTTGGAGTGTACATCAAACTGTCCAAATAAAATGGATAAATTAGTCACAAGCTAATGTTAAGTTGCAGGGGATGCCAAATCTGATGGAAGGACACTCGCAAGAGGAGCATATAAAAATAATATGTTTATTATTGGCTACAGAGATGCCTAATGTTCTCCACATATCACCAACACTGAGATGGCTAGACTGGGAGTGCAAATACAGCCTGAAAATACGCCTGCGTTGCTGCCAGAGTCCGCCAACTAATAAACCCCTTACATGGCTGCTTGTAAGTTATGTGCTCCTCAAGCTTGATAGCAACAACACATGGACAAACTTTGCATGTCCAAATTACGGGTTTGTGGCATGGTCCACCTAAACCAAACCAAACCAAGTTTTATATTCCAATCATTTAGGGTCAGCTATATGAGTCCGTATTCGCCATTTATTTCGGCCAAACACTATACACTTATTGAAGTTAAATATTTTCATATCTTTTCTTATTATTTCATTTAATATTGTTAAGTTTGGAAGATTAACATAATAATATTAGAGACAATATTTTGGGAGAAACAGTGAGAGGTGAGGTTAAGAACTTAACCTAGCTCTCATACATAACTTGTATTTATAGTTAACTTACAATAATAATAATAACACATACATCCTCTTACTATTAAGAATTTACACATACTACTCTATTATTCTTAATACTCCCCCTCAAGCTGGACTATATATATCATATAATCCAAACTTGAACAAATAGCTGTAAGACGCGTACGACTCAATGCTTTGGTAAACATATCTGCAAGCTGATCTTTAGATTTCACAAATGGAGTTATAATCTCCTCAGCTACTATCTTGTCCCGAATAAAGTGACAGTCAACCTCAATATGCTTGATTCTCTCATGAAACACAGGATTTGCAGCGATATGGATAGCTGTCTAGTTGTCACAGAACAACTGTAAAGGAAGTTGAATTGGAAACCCAATTTTCTGAAGGAAGTGTAGTAGCCAAGTCAACTCACTCGTCGTATGTGTCATTGTCCTATACTCAGCCTCAGCACTGGATCTTACTACCATGGGTTGTTTCTTACTTTTCTATGAGACAACATTACCACCTAGGAAAGTACAATAACCAGTGGTTGATCTCCGATCAGAAGGAGAGCCAGCCCAATCAGCATCTAAGAAACCTTCCACTCTAAGATGTCCATTAGCTCGATATAACAGTCCAAGTCTAGGAGCTCGTTTGAGATATCGCAGAATACGAGTAACTACCTCCCAATGTGGTACTCTAGGACATCCCATGAACTGACTTACTATACTGACTGCATAGGAAATATCTGGTCGAGTAATAGTAAAATAATTAAGCTTCCCAACCAATTTGCGATACCGACCCGGATTCTCAAACAATACACCATCATCCATCAATAATTTCTGATTCGGATCCATAGGGACATCAATCGGTCTACCACCAGCAAACCTGCTTCCTCAAGCATGTCAAGTACATATTTCCTCTGAGATAAACAAATACCCTGTTTAGATCGAGCCACCTCAATACCCAAGAAATACCTAAATTTTTCCAAATCCTTAGTATGAAATCGATCCTATAAAAATAATTTTAACTTGACAATCCCCTTAGAATCATTTCCAGTAATCACAATATCATCGACATAGACCACCAATAGGACATACCCAGCATCTGTCTGCCTATGAAACACAGAATGATCTGTTTGACATCGAAGAAGACCAAACTCTAAAACTGCATCTGAAAACTTACCAAACCATGCCCTCGGTGACTACTTTAAACCATACAAAGATTTTTTTAACCAACATACACTCTCACTCTT